GCGAGGTTCAAGTGGGTTCTGAGGCTGGGGGGATCCTTACGGGGGAAGTGGTTCAATTCGCAGTGAAGGGAATTTGGTTAGGGTGTAGTAACATCAGCATATTCTTTTTTAAAAAGTATGGTGAATATATCCCACAAAGTTTCATCACGGGCTTTGTACACAAAATTCATCTTTTGTGACATGGACACATTTTTTGTTGCAAAAAAGCTTTTGGGGCCAGGAAAAAAGCTTTGTCTTATTGAAAATCCGCTGAATTTGAACCTTGATGATTCAAGCCCATAACAGTGGAATACCTTCTTATGTTGAATTGCTTTGAAGTTCCAGTCTGAATTCCCTAAGAAGAAAAAATCAATCAAGAACCTCTCAAACTGTGGCTTTTTTTCTCAAACCTTCATGACTCTCATTTTCTGGAGGCCTTTTAGCTTTCATTATATCGACACAGGAAAGAGAAAAATAATAAAAGTGTAATTTTATGCATTTAAAAAATAGAGGTTATTGGGCAAATGAACCATTTTCTCTCAGTTCAGCATGCTGTCAATTCATTTAAGAGGCAAAATAAATTGCAATCTCCTGTAATACTTTTTTCTTCCCTTCCACAAAAAAAAAAAAGATTGTTTCCCCAACTCAAAACCTCCTTAACTCAGATAATTTTGCTGGTCCCTTGAAATTCAACTTGATGAGGTTCCACTGTGAAAATGGATTTAAATATTGTATTTACTCAAATGCCATTTGCACATAATTTCTGTAAATCCATTAAAAAAAATAGGGTGCGTGTCTCACTTGGGTACACATTTTTCTACGAATTCTGATATTTTGTTGAGGAAAAAACTCAAATAAAAATCGAATTCCAAAACATTTCAAGAAGGTAAAAGTGCAAACATTTTTACGTCAGAAAAATATTGCACTGCACCACTGAATCTAAAACGCTGTTAAAACTAAGACGTATTTTGATTTCTCATAGCCAATCTTTTTTTTAAATCGTAAGTGAATACAGTGAAGTATGCTCTGAAGCAAATTCATGAGCTTATCTCCGTAATTATAACAGGACTTGTACTGTATATAACTACAGTACTTCCTCCAAAAAAATACGGAAAGGTTTATCGTCAGGTCATTTATTCCGTACTATTTCCAAGCAGGACGGATTTGGTGTTTTTCGAAAAGGGAAAGATTACTTTTTGGAATTTCAGGGGTTAAACACCATAATAAAGCTTGAATATTTCAGGGTTAATGGAAAAAGTCATCTGATAAATATCAGATGTTTTTTCAACAAAGCTCTTTTTCGGATAAAAAAAAGAGTAGTACACAGAATAAATGAATAATTGTCCGGTGATCAAAAATACAGCACAACTAACCTTTGAATATCGGAGCCACCTTCTCCAAAGCCTGGACATTGGTGAGGCCAAAATATTGCCCCAGAGTTACTTCCATAAGGAAGAACGGAACGCCACACGTGACAAGCGATATTCCATAAGGAATGAGGAAAGCACCTGTTTCCACAAAAGACTGTGCATTAAAAATCATTATTTCTCACTTTTCAACGATCATTTGCCAACGATGCGAAAGAAAAAAATGGAGATTTGTACCTCATTTATGCACAAATCCAACAAATTCCAGGACGAGGAAACGAGGATTTATTTCTACAACCTTCATTCGAGATGGCGATTGCGAAATTTTTCTAAATTGATTTTTCCGTATTTTTCGTCTCTGTAAATGCAGAAACTCATGACGAGATTGATAAAATTTGCCACTACTTTAAGTGACAGACGATATGCCATAAAGAATGATGAAAGCACCTGTTTCCACAAAAGAATGTGCATTAAAAAGAACAAAGGATCATTATTCTTACTTTCAAACGAGTATTTGCCCACGATGCGAAAGTTAAAAAAAAAAGAGAGATTTGCACCTTATCCTCATTCATGCACAAATTCAACAAAGTCGAGGACGAGGAAACGAGGATTTATTTCTACAACCTTCATTTAAGATGGCGATTGCGCACTTTTTCTTAATTTTATTTTCCGGTATGTCTCGTCTCTAAAAAATGCAGAAAAACTATAGACGTAAAGATTTGTTTCAATCCAAAAATAGGTATTGATAAAATTTGTCAATATTTCAATAACGGTGAAACAATTTTGACAACTCACCACCGCCGTTTTTGTAGACGAGGTAAGGAAATCGCCAAACGTTTCCTAAACCAACAGCATATCCGATGCAAGAGAACAAAAAGTCGAGTTTGTTGCTCCAACCACCACGTTCTTCTCTGCTTAGCACATCTTTACTTGACGAAGCTACCATACTTTTTTGCTCAAATTATTCTGCAATATATACGAAGACATTTCAAGAATTTAAGCGTCAGCCGACAGCGAAAGATTGCCGTCATTTGGTATAGTCAACAAAAGATGACACAGCATGTTTCCGAATTTAAAAAAATTATAGGTGAACTTTGAAAGAGATCCAAGCTTTGATTAGACCACAGCAGGACCAGATTTGTTCATATTTTTAAATCAAGATGAAATACACAGACTTTAAAACAGCACACAAAACAGAATACAAGTATGTAAGAAAAATTCTTTCTTACTTTATCCATCACTTCCCCATCCATTCAACTAATTTTAAAAATTACCTATAGCACAGAGGGACTTCCTTCTCTTTTTGTGAATTGTGCCTTATTTTTACAGATGCCAACATTTCAATGAACTGTATAGTGGTATACTGTTCAATGCTCCAAATGTTCTTATTGGGTTGGAAAGATATCCACTGAATAAAATTCAAATGGCAAAAAAAAAAATTTTCATGGAATTTTAAAGAATATTTCTTCCACAAACCACCAATACAGAATTATATAATGTAATTCTATGGGAAAACAAGACTTGACTTAGAGACAATTCAACTTAGGGACACTCTTGATGCACCAATGATGTCCGCAATTGGAGGTCTCACTGTATTTCTGTAATCAACCGGAAACAAAGCCGTCACCACGCCTTCCTTCTGCTCATCATGCACTTCCGCGGGAAATTAAAACGCGGAAGTTAAATAAAATCGCGGGGGGGGGTAAATTAGGGATCCGAAGATTGAGCAGATCAACACCATCACACTGTGCTGTCGACGCAAAAAGCGTCGACAAGTCGTCGTTCAACTCCTGCCGTCGAAAAAACAAAAGCGCAAACATGAAAAAAAAAAGGAAATCGGCCCCGTTTCGGTCCCGTCCTCGACGGAGAATTATTATTTGTCCCCATTAAACACGCAACGTTGTTTCTGACTGCGTACCAACAAGCAGCGATTTTTATTTTTTATTTTATGTTTGTCGCATTTTATTTTGTACATCCGTTTTGAGAAGGGGAAGAAAAGCTGTTGCTGATTCAGAGCCAGGATTTTTCACCGACAATAAAGACAAGCCTTGAGTGCTAAGAGCACAAAAGCGACTGCGTAAAGTGCTCACTTAATAGGCTACACATTGAGTCAGCCATGATGTGCGCTGTGTTCCACAGTTGCGACAGCTTTATTTTCTGCGGCGGATTAACACAGAGTCATGCTGAACACTGCGACAAATCCCTGAAATTTGTTTCATGCATTCATTGCTTCGAATAATTCATTTTTATATCCACAGTTTTATGAAAAATCCAAGACTGAAAGCAGCAATCACACTAGGATTCCCAACAAGAGAGCAGGGCAGTGGAACTAAGAGGATGAATAATCACGCTGGACAATAATCCTGTTTGCAGCTGGGAATATGTAATTAAGGCAGCAACTTAATTACATATCCCTAGTTTTGTCAGGTTCATTAAGAATCACAGTTTACACAATGGAAAACATATAGAACGAATAAAGCACCACAATAAATAAGTGCATACAAAACACATTTGATAAATGAAAGTACGAATTTTTGCACATAAATTAATGAATGAATATCACTGTGCACTGGTGCAAATAAAGGAATTATTGATTTTGGGCAAAGAAAGTCAGGGGAAGTTTACCCTATAGGAATAATTCAAGTGGACTGATTATTGGGGAAGGAGAATTCTGGGCATTTATGCATTTTTGTTGCATGCTTTGGTTTAGCTGTCCTGACTGAAGCACTCAACTTTCTCCCCACCTGTGATTGGCAGGAGAAATTCTTTTTGAAGAAGTTGCGCACCTGAGAAATGGATGCAAAAAGGAAAACAGGACCAGAATTCAGGTCCCAGCTATAGGACCTGACATCCCTGGGCCATAGTTCTGTTTCCCCAACATCAGTGAACATTCATTTTCTTTCCTAATTAGCAAACTGTAATTCCATGAAATATTTTCCAAAATACTCATGATGGGAGGAAATCATGTTTTTGGGTTCTGGTGGAAGAGAACAAGAGAGTTCTTATTTACTCAAGTATGCTACAGTACCACAAACCCTTGAGTAAGACGGGGACCAGGGGTTTTCAGTCACAAATTTTGATGAAAATGCATCCCCAAGCAAGATGCGCATCCCATTTTTATCGACTCTAAAATGGCAATATTTCAAAAATAACATCATCTAAATTTGGATTTCAAGTTCAATAAACCCAATTGTCTCACCAAAAAAAATTTTCCCGTTAAAGTTGGTCCACAGTTTCCAATGAGAATCTGATATAATGAGCACGCCTAAACTTCTAAAAAAAAAAATTTTTTGAATATGGTAACCCCTTTTTTCCTCTCAATTTCAAGAAAGAAGATGCAGTAGTAATCGAGTAAATGTGGAAGTAAATTTTGCGACAATTTTCAAACAGTAATTTCTGTAATGCAAGAAGCCGGAATCAACTGAAATTTCATTTCCCTTTATAGTTCAAATATTTTTAAGATTTTTCAGGCACAATAAGTTGCATCACATGGCCCAGCTTTTTCTGAATGAAGTGCTGTACCTTTGGTAGAATGAAGTGCACCTCTGGACATTGTCAAGTTTACAAAAAGATAATTCTGAACTACATATATCAAGATACACAGTATTGTAAAAATATGAATGTTGGAAAGTCGCCGTGGAACTCAGCAAAACTGTTACTCGCATGAGAATATTCTTTATAATTCACACTACATGATCTCTATTTTCCCATAAACATTAGGAAGTGCAGTAATAAAAATATTTGCTTCAAATTTTTCATGAGCGTTTTCTTTTCACAAACACAGTTTACACACTGTTGAAGCGAAATGTTTCAGGTCAGATTGGCCCGGACATTTTCTCTATACTTCGACTAATTGTTCCAAGAATATGTTCCAAAAAAGGACTTGATTTAAATTTCGAAACTTTTTTCTGCTACGACCTTCCCAATTTTTTTTTTCTTGCCCGTTTCATTGCCCAAGGAAAATAAACATCATACTGAACTTAACCCCACCATGGCACCGACAGCGGAAACTCCGAGCGACACACTCCCGATGAATGAACAGGATTCCTCCGGCAACAGAGAAAAAAAAACGACGTGCGTTGGGTTCGAAAAATAAAAAATAAACAAAATAATAGTAATAATAATAATAAAACGTGCAAGTATTCCATTTGAAAGAAGAGTCACGAGCACGTACGCATTCGCGGCTTGATTAATACGGAACAAGGCTGAACACGCAGGCAAAAGATGAGGGGCATCAGGGGATCCAGACTTTTCCGGTTGGTTCATGGCGGGTTGCCGCTTCAGTCTTCCCTTTTGGAAGTCATTCCCTTATCCACAGCAAGGATTGGGAACAAGCAATTCTTCTTTAAAAAAGAGGGCCAAGTGTGAATCAGTTCATTTGGGGTTGGGTTAAAAATAATTGCTGGATCAATATGACCCTTGGGCGGCAAAGTAGGACTATTTTTGCAAAATTTTGTTACACCTCAGGGCAGAAAATAAAAAAAGAGCAACAGGGATTTGAGGACAAAGTCGGGGAAAAATCCAATGTTTTTTTTTCTTTTTGCACAGAAAGATTTTGTGGGAAAATGAAAAAAATCCTATGCTAAGCAATGGGCTTTTCTTGGATTAATCCCGACTTAGCCTCAGCCCACCTGGAAGGTCTTTTCTGACCTTCAGAAAACTTAAAACTCCACAGCATACAAAAATAATCCGATTTCGACTGGTGATGGGAAAGAACCCTCTGCCATCCAAGGGTTAAATAAGAACTACAGTAGGATCTTAATACAACTAAACATGTGTGACCTTATTGAAAAACTTTGTCATAGACAATTGCTTAAACCCCACAGGTAGGGTTAAGAATATTTATTTTAATAAATTCAAGAACCACAGTAAAATCTCATGATTACTAAGCATTTTTTCCATTGATAAAACTTTTTGATGAACAAGTTTTGTTATAAAAATCATTGTTACATTATGCTTTTGTTGTGTTGTTGTTGAATTGGTTAAACCACAAGGGTGGGGTTTAAATGAAATTTTTGGATAAATTCAAGAACTACAGAATCATCTCATAACAACTAAGAACTTGGGACCTTATACAAAAGCTTTGTTTTAAACAAAATTCTCTAGATCAGAATTATACCACATTGTGACTGCTGCTGGGCAAGGATAAAAAAAATTCAATCTAACAATGATCAGTATACCACAATTTGTTGTTTAAAACAAATATTACATTGATTGCAAATATACTTGGCAATAGTACTCTTGAGTTGCCTATCTTGAATTCCCCTCAGGCTCCATAGTCCAAGCAAAATATAACTACAAAAGATGATTTTCAAAGCAAAAAAAGGACTGGAGTGGAATTTCAGATTTTCTTTGAGTCAAATCTCATTGAGAAGCTTTCAAAAATGAATGTACTTCATAACAAAAAACTGTTGCCAAGTAACTCATCTATCATTGCGGGTTTGCGGCTTTTGGAAAGGAGCCCAAAGAACAACTATGTTGTACAGGATTATTTGTTAGCACCAGATCTTTTGTGATGAGATTTTACAGTAATTCAAAGCACAGGGCATCAATTGTTGGAAAATCAAAATTGAATATGCTGCATTATATAAGAATCTTCAAACATCCACATGCTTTTGTCTTGGTTTTTTTTTAAGGCTGAGAACTCATCTGTCCCACATGAAATGAAAGAGGTCGCTCTAAAGAATTATTGAAGAATTCTGGTCTTTTTGGCAAATGCAATGAATTAATGAAAATCTAGGATGTAAAAGAATTATTTCATGGTATCCAAGCAAGATGAAAATCACTGCACCACACCCATCAGGAAATACTTCACATCCCAATGCATAAAATAGTTGACATAATTTCAAGTTCTCTATCTGATTTCCCTTGGGACGGATTACATGATCCCCATAGCTTTTTTCCATATGGATAAGAGTAGTCATTAGGGATAATACTGTCCTTCAATTTATAATTAAACTGAACCCAGGAAAAGGCTAACA